GACCGTTGGATGCGCGTTTCTATCCAGCGAAATTTTTGAAGAAAGCGCTTTTGAAACTCCGTCTGCTACAAAATGCCGCTCATAAAGCGCACTGAGATGATAAAAATTCGTAAAATCTCGACCAAAGGCGTGATTGACCTGAATTTTAAGAAACCAGTTAAGAAAAGGGCGCTCTTTAAAATACCGCTGGACCCGCGTTTGTATCCAGAAAAATTTTTGGAAACTGCGTTTTTGAAACTCACTCTGCAACAAAATGTCGTTCATAAAGCGCACGCGGATGATAAAAAAATCGTAAAATCTCGGCCAAAAGCGTGATTAATCTGAATTTTAACAGAGCAGTTAAGAAAGAGCGCTCTTTAAAATACCGTTAGATGCGCGTTTCTATCCAGACAAATTTTTGAAGAAGCCGCCTATGAAACTCACTCTGCAACAAAATGTCGTTCATAAAGCGCACGCGGATGATAAAAAATTTGTAAAAACTCCGTCAAAAGCCTGATTAACCTGAATTTTAACAGACCAGTTAAGAAAAGGGCGCTATTTAAAATAATGCTGGATGCGACTTTCTATCCAGAGACGTTTTTGAAAAAGGCGCTTTTGAAACTCACTCTGCAACAAAATGCCGTTCATAAAGCGCACTSGGATGATAAAAAMTTYGTAAAATCTCGGYCAWAAGCSTGATTAACCWGAATTTTAACAGACCAATTAAGAAAAGGGCGCTCTTTAAAATAATGCTGGATGCGACTTTTTATCCAGAGACGTTTTTGAARAAGGCGTTTTTGTAACTCATTCTGCAACAAAATGCCGCTCATAAAGCGCACTGGGATGATAAAAAATCCGTAAAATCTCGGTCAAAAGCGTGCTTAAACTGAATTTTAACAGACCAGTTAAGAAAAGGGCGCTCTTTAAAATACCACCGGATTCGCGTTTCTATTCAGAAAAATTTTCCAAAAAGGCGTTTTTGAAACTCACTCTGCAACAAAATGCCGCTCATAAAGCGCACTCGGATCATAAAAAATTCGTAACATCTCGGTCAAAAGCGTGATTAAACTGAATTTTAACACACCAGTTAAGAAAAGGGCGCTCTTTAAAATAGAGTTGAATGCGCGTTTCTATCCACAGAAATTTTTGAAAAAGCCGCTTTTGAAACTCACTCTGCAACAAAATGCCGCTTATAAAGCGCACTGGGATGATAAAAAATTCGTAAAACCTCAGTCAAAGGCGCAATTCAACTGAATTTTAGCGCACCGCTGAAGAAATTTGCGTTCTTTAGAATACCTCTAAATGCGTGTTTCTACCTCGAGAAGGTTTTTCAAATCGCGCTTTTGAGACCCTTTGAAAGGCCCAATAAACCACTCAAAGACTGTCGGTCCATTTTAAGCTGTTCGTACACTTTTAGACACCGAAGTCGAAGATTATAAACCAAAAACATTTGAACACATAAAGAAAAAAATTAAAATCTGTTCGTACACTTTTATACACCTAAGTCGAAGATTATAAACCAAAAACATCTGAACACATAAAGAAAAAAATTAAAATCTTCAAAATTTCCTATTTTGTTGGTCCAGTTGATTTTTCATTTCCAGTTTCAGTTGTTTATTGCAGTGCAAATATTATTCGCATTTGCGGCTATCGCTAAAAGCTTATTATTGCTAAACAACTTATAATATGCGGACCTTAGTTAGTGCTAATAAACATGTTATTACTTGCTTTAAAGTTCGTGTTCCCAGAAAATGAAACATCATTTATAAAACCGTGTACTTTACATAATTAGCAGGGTCACAGTGACTTCACAGAAATGTGACCTAACAGGTGTTGTAAATAGGGAAAAAAACATAATTTGTCAGAAAAATTGCAAATTTTTCGAATTTTTCCTTCAAAGCCTGCAGTTGATGATTGGAATAGTTCAGAGTTCAACCGTTCCTATAAATCAGTTAGAATTATTCCCAACTGATACACTAGTATCAACGTGTATTTTTACTCATACTGCTGGAAAAATAAATCCAAACTCCACATACACCAACTTGAGGTTTATTCAAAATTGGGTAACAAAGTTGTTAGAAAATATACAACAACAAACAAAAAAATCAACTAAAATAAATTAATCAAATGATGAAGGCACGCAAAATTCTCCTTTAGGCGTTCAAGAACTGGCGGAATTGAGGAGCAAATTTGCCCTCAGGATCAAATTTCTTCGCAATCCTCTTCCATTGATCGGGGTCGTTTTTGATCAGGAAATTGGCCCCTTTTCGCACGAATTTCTGCTGTGATGGCGTACATTTGGCGCAGCTCGTTCTCAACGCTTCAGGAATATGAGCTGAAATACACAAAATCATCTGAAAACCTACTCGCAAAGGAAAAATTGATCATATAATTTTGCTCCGATGTTAAAGGTGCAACTCGAATGAATTAGCCAACGTATGCATGATAATTTGTCTTACTAATGATGTGTTATTAATTCAATATCGGTAATCGAAGTCGACATTGACCGAAATACGAATTAGAGGCTATGACGATTTTTTGCGTATATTTGTACTCGGTGAACTTGATGATGACCATTCTGAAAATGTTCAAAGAGTGAAACGATGTTGTTTAAAGTCGCCTTTTTTGTTTGGTGCGTTTATATACAATTAGGTAATAACAGGTTTGGCAGGTAAAAAACAAAAATATTATAAGCGTTTGTAGAGCGCCAGAAAAAACACATTTCAACTCTTAAAACCTTAGCATTATTTGCTTATTTCTTTTTAAAGTTTGTGAGTTTAAATTCGCAAATCCTTCAAGTCGAGAAAATGTTGGTTGTTTGGGTCAACTTTTCATCAAAAAACCAAAGGATGGTTTTTACTCCAATCAACTGATCAAATGTTAGAAAACTAGCTATTTGCGAAATCCTTACAAATTTCGTAGAACAGTGAAACATTTCTTTGAATATATTGGTGTATAACCGGCGAAAAGTGGCTTATAGGCCTGCCGGTCACCACGTAAATTGGACGTTCGGGCCTACTATGCAGCGGTTATTTTATCGACCGTAATGTTTCCATTGGTGCAAAGAAACTGTTTCCACAAATTCAATTAGACGCCAACGATGAGCGCCAATATAAAGGAAAATTTTAAAATGTTTTTACTTACTTCTCAGTTCTCTTCCTTCAGCAGTACACGGGCCTTCGTCTAAGACACACCGAACATAATTATTTAACACTCGTTTATTGGACAGAATTTCATCGATATTGATATTATCGAACCTCGACGTGTACGTTTGGCCCAAGCAAATGGCAATTTGCAAGACCAAGACCAGAACCACGCAGAATTTCATTGTTTTATATTAATTGCTCTTATCAAATCGCTAATATCTTCACATCTAAGTGCAAAGTGACTGAATCTGGCACTTTCTTAGGCTAACTTATATATCTCCGCATTGAATGCTGAATCTTTTAAGGACTACCAGTTTGTTCATTTAAGGACAAGTGGAATTTTTATGTTTACGGATTATACATATGGTATACAAAGAACCTGATTAGCATAAATTTATTCACTTGTCTCTGTTTGTGTGGTTTTGGACACCAGGCTGCATACAGATTTTGCGGAAAGTTGATTTGTCGAGTCATTCAGAGAGGCGAACAGTCCAAAAAAAGAGCAAAAATTAGGCAAGAAAACACGCGAGATTAAGCAGGATGATGAAATTATTTGGGAATAAAATCTTGACATAGATAAAAATGCTGCTAATTAGTGGAAATCGGATCATTAGTTACTCCATCACGGCTATTGGAAAGTATTTTCAATATTCGAGTGAAAAATTAAAAATCTAAGGATTATTTCGCGCTGTATAAACACTTTTGAACCTTCAAATTTAATTAATTCAACATGGAAAGAAACTTGATCAATTTGCGTTTTTTAGGAAAAATCCACGAGGCTTCTGGGGCGCTTATACTTTTACGCCCTTAAAATCCGCCAAGTTAATAATGTTCCTTTTTCCTATTGAATGATTCCAACAGTCCAATTTACCGAATTAAGTGCCTCCAAGCAACAAGATACT